TAAAACAATGGTCCCGCCACAATAAACACTTCCCAACGAACTCTAAACTGTGAATGGATGCGAGTGGCGATACCGATCGCGGACCGCGCAACGCACTTCATCCCTTATTAATTATTTTATTGCGAGCATAAAGGACGCCGTAATCGTCGGAATAATAATATCATCGCGCGTAAAGAACCCCGAGTGGAGGCAACACAAGCGTAAAAATGACACGCCGCGCCACCAATATGTTTGTGTGTATAACATTAGATTTATTCGACTGGGTCACGCACACAGGCACGTGGTCTACCCCCAAACGGGGTGCGCTCGTGGCACACACGGCCCGCCCGGCAGATGGCTACGCACACACGCGCGAAACGAAAGGGAAAGCTGCACTGTGTAAACAAATCGCGAAGCTCCGTCCCTCTCGTCCGGCGGGTCGGTGTGACGCGACTCGCGCCTGTGTAGCGCCGGGCGTAGATTGTTCTGTGAAATTGCCAGGTAATAGGCCGAGGGACTGTATAGCACATACTTATTGGCGGGTTTAGACGCTCGACGTCCTAATCGAATTGAATATTGGCGACGCGTCGACGCCGCTGAACGAATGCTACAATACTGCTGTTTCCATCATTGACTTAATAAAGCTGTAATTTACGTTAAGATCCCATATTTAAAATAGGTCGGTACACATAATTAATATATTGTCTATGTCAGTGTAAATGTATCAGTATACAATATTATATAGTAAGAATGAAGTGTGAGAACAAAATCATGATCACAAATTGAATAATCGATGTCAGATAGATCATAAAGTGCGTTACCATAAAAATTATTTTGATTATAAACATAAAATAAATGATCTAATTTATTAATAATATAATACAGAACCCTTCGCTGGCCCCTTGTCAATCCGTTTAATATTTTTTAAATTGTCATACAAGAGTATCGTCACACGACAAAATATTTATGGAACACATTCGTGTCAATATTTCATAAACCTATTTAAAGATTCGACCCGATAAAACATTCTACAATAACTCTGAGCATTTTGCGTACATCGTGACGGAAATATCATCCCGATCAAATAACGAGCGGGGACATTTATACACGTCCCAGTGACAACGCTAGAGAAACATTCTGTTTATAGATCAGAAGAGATATATATAAGAAAAAGACAAGACTTTCGACGCGTTATTAACAAATCTTTCAAAACGGACGACATGTACAAACAGCCGTCTAAAAATGCCACCGCCTACAGTTTGGGGACAAAGAAACAGTGATTCGATTGGGCGTGACGTCACACACCAGTGTGCTGAGTATGATGAAGACTATGGGGTCAGCAAACCAGAGCGGCGGTGGAATTTGTAATTAATTATTATTAATAATGAGTATTGGACGGGATTTTTTTTATTTTTGTTGAACAAAAAATATGTTAAATATTAATTACTAATTAAATTATAATTATGTTATCTAACAAACCCAGTACACAGGATTTTCAAACCCCTGGGTTCGTTCGATGAAGCTTTAATAGTCTAAGGACTCAAAGCGTAACATCAGTTATACAAAAAAAAACCCAAACGACACTCGGGGACTGCCGCGGTAAAGCTATTGCATAGCATTTTTTTTATCAACTTATGCAATTATAATTATTTATTTATACAGTATTTTTTTTTTCTTTGATATTAATTCACGTTACACTTTTTGAGCGTGGTAACCGATAATAAAACAAATATTTTTTTTATTGAATAAATGAGAAGTTAAAATATTTTTGTTATCTTACAATACATTTTACGGTGGTAGGGCCACGCAGCAGCCTCGGCTGTTGCACGAATGGGCAGGCCCGTCCGGGTAAGTACCACGACCTCACAGAAGACCGGCGTAAAGTGGAAGTATGACAAATACTTTCGCGTTTCGTCTGGTGAGTGAGGTAGCCGGAGCCCAATTTTCAAAAGGTTGTCAACGCATCTGTAACCCTCGAGTGTAGCAGATGTCCATGGGCGGCGGTATTCACTTAACATCAGGTGAACCGTCTGCTCGTTTGACAACTTTTCGCATAAAAAAAAAAAAAATACATGTAGGTTATTCAGGAATTTTTATCATTGAAACTATAGGTTTATAGTAACTGAAATAAGAAACATAAGTTTGAGAATTGATATCAAATCATATCATCATATGATAATATAATATTATAATATCATGTTATAATATCCATCCGTGCCAGCTTCGTACAATCGTACCATATACAAATACGTTAAGCGAACGCTCCGCCGAGCTACATGGTAGGCGGAGTGGGGGGTGTTAGGTTTTATTTTCGTTACGGAGTTTCTTGATTCGGTTGCCGCGCTCAATAAAAGCGAGATAAAAGTTATGCAATAGCTTAAAAATATTTCCTTTCACGAATAATTTTATTTTTGCAATAAATTAATTATTTATTTATGAAATAAAGTAAAAACGCTTGATAGTAATTAATTAAAAATTAAAATAAATTGACGAAGGTAAAATAACCTAGTGTCACGCAGCGAGAGCGAGAAAGAGACAAAAGTTTAAATAATAAATATTTTTCGGGACATTCTTTTACACAGCTTTATTTAGTTCCGAAACTAAGCAAAGCTTGTACTATGGGTATTAGAAAAATGATAAACATACTTAAACGTACTTTTATTTTGTAAATAAATACATATTATATAAGTATATACGAGTATAAACACCCAGACAATAGAAAAACACTATGTCCGTTACACAGTTTTTTCAGTAGTGGGAATCAAACCCACACACTCTGGCGCAAGAGACGAGGTCACCATCAACTACACCAATTGGGTTAAATGTTTTTTTTTTCTTTATCTATACGTGACGATTTCTACCGCCTCGCTCGACGAAAAAAATACTCTTACGCACTAAGAAATGATTGCCTCAAAAGCATGAAAAATCACGGACACCAAGGAATTCCAGGCTCGGAACAGCAATTTATGGACCTCACAATTTCTTATCTCTTGCGAGGATCGTGGACTCTCTCGCAACCTCAGTTGAATAGATCAACAAGCCATTGATCCAGCACCAAAATCCATGTTGTCCAAACTAAGCGACATGCCTAAATTTTAGGTTACCAGGCAAACAAAAAAAGGTAAAGTAACAGCCTATACATGTCCCACTGCTGGGCAAACGCCTCCTCTATACAGAGGGTATCAGGGCATAGTCTACCACGCGGCCCCACTGCGGATTGGCGGACTTCACATATTTTCGAAATATATTTTTTTTGTTATTATTTCGAAAATATGCAGGTTTCCTCACGATGTTTTCCTTCACCGCGGAGCACGTGATAAGTCAGCACTTAAAGTTAAAAACTTCATTGGTGCCGGCACCGGGGATCGAACTCAGGTTGCTCGAGTATATTGAATTAAAGGCGAGCGCCCGGACACTGAGCCACCACGGCTCTAAAAAAGGTAGAACAAAAAAAACACAAACAAAAAAGGTAGAACGGGCAAACGTCACTATTGCAGAAGTAAATAAAGATCTTTCTACTTTGCTTGCAGTTAACAGTGTCTATTTACTATGGCATCGGCACATTGTCACTGGAGATGACTTCGATTTGATAGGGGCTAATCATAATCGAATCTCCGGCGTCGGATTTAAATGAGGCAATCAATCAGTGCGCCAGTGCTGGCTGACGGGAGGGCGAAAAACTCGCGCGCCGAGACACGTGGGGCCGTCCTTCTTCACTGCGAACTGACTTAAATACCGTCTAACTACTTTCACTGTCAATTAAAAACAATTAATAAACACATTTATCGCGACTTATTCCGTACGAAACGATAATCGTTTGTACGAAACGATAATTGTTGTAGTTATCGTTTTGTATTGATTTATTGTTATTACGTTATTGATTATATTCTTAGAATAACAGTGGCGACATCTTTCGTTTGATTTTAGATGGCGTTACATATTAGGCTGTTATTTATGCTAGATAATATAAGTGATGTGATATTTTCTTGTTGTTTTCGTGTAATCAAAGTAATAAGCCTATTTTGGATATTTTCCGTCATTGGTATTTTTACTCTTAATTTTCATATAAGCTCTGAGCAAAAATTGCGTTATAAATTTTAACAGTTTTTTGGTTACAAATTTTAATAGGTACTTACTTGTATATAGCTAAAAAAATCTTGTAGCTTTGAATTGCTAACATATAAAAAGTAAACATTTAGACATTATTATAAGTAACATAATAAATATTTGTTAAATGCTCGTTATTTATGGCTAGGATATTAAATTGTATAATAGGATATAACGTATACGTATATAAACGTAGACGTATTTAACGATTATATCCACAAACAAAATATCCAAAAGTAAGTTTTATGTACTACGCCAGTTAGTCAGGGCGAATATGTTACTTCTGAATTATTTTTGGAAGAAAATAAATAGTGTCAGTTGCGTAAAATGGGAGACTTTTGATCGCAATATTCAGTCAGCCATTTACGTAATACAAATGAAGTGTATATTGAAATAAAGGTAAAACAAAAAGTACGTTATCGGCACATTGGGCTGGGCTATAACCTACAAGTCAACGACACTATTCCGATAACGATTCCGCGAGTGACAACCGCGAAAGGTTGTTCGAATTCAAATTTTTATCACTCAACGCGATCGAATTGCTTCGCAATGTCTACTAATTGATAATTGAAAAATTATGTCATCTAATTATGGCTGATTTGCGGCCGTTGCTTTGTCCTGGATCAATTTTTCCACGAGCAGTTGTTAGAGGTGCCTGTTGTACTCTACCATGATTAACAGGCACACTCAAGGCAACTGCATAGTTTAACTGATGAACTTGGGGTTTTCGTCAGATGAAACTTAACGTAGTGCTTAAGAATGAAAGCGAAAATATTATCCAAATAAAAACAAGCTAATGCAATTTAGAACATAATTATCATATTGGTGATAGACAAACATAATTGAAACATATATAGTTCAATTAAAGGGACATGTGATTGATAAGTGATAATGATTTATTATAAATAAGGTTAGTGTTCAATCAAGTTGTCGATCCACTGGCTGTAAACGGAGACTCTTGTATACACGCCGGGGTAGACCAAGTCCGCGCAGCCCTCACCCCAGGATACTATGCCGACTAAGGTACTGTTCGCGACCAAAGGACCTCCAGAGTCCCCTTGGCACGCGTCCCTGGGTGGGTTACTTCCATTGGCGCACAGCATTCCCTTTGTAATGTCGGCAATGCGTACGTAGGCCCTAGCACAGTAATCCTGCTCGACTATTTTCACGCGGGCCGCCATGAGCACTAAGGACGATGACCCCTCGTACTGAAAGCAAATAAACCAAAGTCTTCGAGTATTAAAGGGACATTGTTTTGATTTCGTTGCTCATGCAGATGTATTGGCATCTATAATTATGATTAAAACAAAGTTAATTAACATTGTGCATGTCCCACTGTGACCATAAAAGGACTCTTCTGTGCAAAGGGTCTTAGAACATAGTCCACCAAGCGACCCAAAGCGGATGGCAGACTACACACATCTTCGCCATTGACATATGACATAGATTCTTTCACAATAATATTATTAATTATCCTATTCTAATTATATTATTAATATGCTAATACTTTTCTAATTCTATTAATAGAATAGAGAACTTTTCTCCATAATAGTCTCACATAAAACTTTTCAGGAAGTAGTACTGACACTTTTATCTACTTTGACCGCGTTGGGCCCAAGCAACAGTCTCCATGTTGCACGAATGGGCAGGTCCGTCCGAGGGAGTACCACGACCTCTCAGAAAACCGACGTGAAGTGGAAGTGTTGCACTTGTGCGTTTCGTCTGGTGAGTGATGTAGCCGGGCCGTCTTTATCGAAAGGTAGCAACGCACCCGCAACCCTACGGGTGTTACAAATATATAAGGACGGCGGTTATCACTTAACATCAGGTGAATCGCCAGCTCGCTTGCCACTTATCCCTTAAAAAAAAGTTAAGTGTTTGAATCTTCGGAATTTCATAAAAATAAACAAATGCGATATAGCTGCATGTTATGTTCGCTCATAGAAGAACTTTCACTTGTGTTTTAAGCTCCGTACCATCTTTGCCATTTTTATTTAATACAAGTGTAAGTTCAGTTGGCGAAAATAAATAAATAAAAAATGTATCATCATCATCCTCTTGACCTTATACCACCTAGGTGAGGTCGGCACAACATGTGAATCATGTTGCAAGCGGTTTTGGCTATTGTATGACTTATGGCACGACTAATCGCCTGTCTGATGTCAACCCTCCTTGGAAACAAACACCCAGATTCAAGACGATTATTTGTGGGTCACACAAATACTTGTCCCGCATGGGAATCTAACTCAACGCCCTCGACACCGGAGCCAATAGCTTAGCAATGGCGCGATCTAGTCAATATATCATCACTGCATAGTATAAAACAAAGTCATCCCACTGTATGTCTGTCTCTATGTATGCTTAGACCTTTAAAACTACGCAACGGATCTTGATCTGTAATGTATTGTGGTTGTGGGTGGATTGAATTATTTCTGTGTACCTAACTGTAACCATCTAACCATCTACCTAACCTAACCACCTACCTACATGTTTCTTATAATAATTAAACCAGTCTCGAACCGATCGCTTTTTTTACTAGATAGAGTGATTCAATTGGAAGGTTTATAAGTATAACACATTGCAGCCATGCGAAGCTGGAGCGGGTCGCTAGTAATATGATAAAATAACAATATATATGAAGCGCAAAATGTCATAAACTTGAAAAAGTAACATTTTGTTTCAGACTCACCGACGTAATCCCGAAGCCAGATACCAAGGCATCGGTCCCAACCTTCAAATCGATATTGGCACGGGCGTAGTTCACCGCCCTGACGCTCGTGCTGAAGTTGATTCTCCTGGCGGTGACGAGCAACGAGATGTCGTTCTCCAAAGTCAACGAGGAGTAGAGCTCGTGGATGAAGATCTTGGACAGATCATACTTCCTGCCCCCGGACAACCGATAGGTCGTCCCAACAACGGCTTGCAATGACCCCGGCTCGGAAACAAAACTGAAAGAAACATATGTATTACAATTTGTTACTCCACTCTCCACAGATGTAGATACATGCACAGTTGATGGTTTTTATTATATTAATTGCAGAAGTGAAATTCGTTATATCTGTCCTGTGTACCTAAGGGCTATCATCGATTAGTAGCAGTATGAAAAATCCCAAAAAGGGAAAACTTACGCTAAGCTGTCATCTCTATAAGTTGTACGTACTTCTGTAAGTTCGTATGGAGACAAAATAATATGCAAGGTACAAAAATGTATTTTTATTAATTATAAACCATTTTACAAACATTTCATTTAATCTTTATTATTTATATAGCAAACGGACCATAAGTGTTATGTGTCCCAAATTCCTTGCAGCAATCCTGACTCATAAAACTAAGATCACCAAAATAAGGATTTTTTATTATTTGTAGTTGTCTATATTAGCCTGGATTAACACGGACGATACAGAATGTGTTATTGCAACATTTAGCTGTCCTGACGCCAAATTTCAAACAAATGCCTCCAGCAAGATTGGTCAAGATTGGTCAAAGATTAGACAAAGGAATAGACACCCTTAGACACAAACTTTCACGTTTATATACATTGCGAATATAACTAAAACGGTGCTAGTTCTTGCCTCGAAGTGCAATGTGCTGCCGTCAACAACGACTTGGCGCTGATGATGACGGCACCGCACATGTGGGCCCAACCAGACGTCACCCTGCGCCTCAGAGCAGCTTGATAAGGAACCTCTGTTATGTCGACTTCGTAGCCGTTGACTATTCTGGCTGAGTGGAGTTCCGACTGTGCATCCAGCAAAGGGGATGCTCCCAATCCTTTTGTTAACGCTGTAAAGTTTGATTGCTTAAAAAATTAGTAACGTAAGAACCATTCTTGTATATGTCACGAAGAAGAGCAAAGACCTTGAAAATAGTCGCTGCTCATGAGTATTGATAACTTGATGGCTTGGTTATATTTCTTCTATGTGTAGACTTGTCAAGCGAGCAAGCAGTTCACATAGAGTTAAGTGAATACAGGCCCATGGACATCTTACAAGTACAACCTTATAAAAATGGGCTCCTGTTATCTCAACCTCCAGATGAAACGCGAAACTATAATACATCCACTTCACATCGGCCTTGTGAGGTCGTGGTACTGTCCGGGACGTGCCTTGACCACCGTCTAATTTATTTGACGGTGGTAGGGCCACGCAGCAGCCTCGGCTGTTGCTCGAATGGGCAGGTTCGTCCGGGTAAGTACCACGACCTCGCAGAAAACCGGCGTACAGTGGAAGTACAATACTTTCGCGTTTCGTCTGGTGAGTGAGGTGGCCGGAGCCCAATTTTCAAAAGGTTGTCCACGCATCTGGAACCCTCGGGTGTAGTAGATGTCCATGGGCGGCGGTATTCACTTAACATCAGGTGAACCGTCTGTTCGATTGACAACTTTTCACATAAAAAACACAGGCCGTCCGTGATCAAGATACGTGCTGGACGTGGGATTTTTATTACAATGACAACGTATAGAATACATTCGTATTTTCGCAATGAAAGAGTAAATAAACATATCTATTTAAGGCAGGTATTCTGTGAGGCCTCGCTACCTCGACCGCTTAGACGAGCCGGCCCATTCTTGCTTGACATCCGTATTTAATCACTGACTCAAAACATAAATAAAAAGATTTTGTTCCAAGAATTAAAAATTTTTGACTTTCGTCAGACAGTAATATACAACGTATTCTACGACTCACCTAAAATTAAAACTATCACTAACTTATACTTGTTCATCTTTATAAATATAACAGCAAACTGTAGTTAAACGGAGCACATATTGGTGTGATAACATTTTTATCAATCGCCGAAGCCACATCTTAGATTTATCTCACTGAATGAATGGAATAAGTGGCAATGTGATAAAGTCGTTTCGTGAAATGATTTTGGGTTTTTTGGAACTGCTAAAACAACAATTGTATTGAATTGGATCGGGAGAACAAGCATCGAGTGAAGAACTTTGTTTACACAAATGGTAAATAAGTAAAATATTTATTTTGTTAAATAATTATTATCTAGAATTGAACGTTTTCACCGGCCTTATCTAAAAGCGGTGGAAATTACGTGGACTGTGTCAATTTCAAATTGATAGATGCAAGTGATATCAATTTGAAATATTGTCCAAAATTCATTACATTGCATCTTATTGAAAGAAAACCTTTTTGGGCGGACTGACTCTAGGGATATGAATTAAGTCTCCAAAAAACTTTCGGGTTTAGGAAATATTATTAAAGTTAACTAACAGCTTATATAGATTCAATGTGTACAGAAGGCATTAATTAGGGCAGGGTCCGCGGTTTGACGGAAGTTATATGCATATTCGAAATGTTTTTAGGGTTCCTTACCTTAAATAGCATAAAAAGGAACCCTTATAAGATCACTCTCTTGTCCGTCTGTCTGTCCGTGTGTCACCACCGATTTTTTCAGGAACGGGTGGACCAAGCAAGTAAAAATTTATACCAGATACTGAGGTCTATATTCCCTATAAGTTGTATGAAAATCAAGGTCCTGAGTCAACACGATAAAAAGATATAGGCAAATTTAGATTTTCGCGAAAACTTGTCCAATTAACCTTAATTTTCAATTTTTTTTATATTTATCGGATTTTTCCGTTTACTTGTGCTGTAAGTAAGACCTTCCTTTTAAACAAAATTGATCTAGGTCAACCAGAAGTACCCTATTGATTTTAGGTCGAAATTCAAATGTCACGTTCTATCTATCACGGTTCATGAGATACAGCCTGGTGACAGACGGAAAGACAGACAGACAGCGGAGTCTACACAGTAATAGGGTGCCATTTTACCCTTTGGGTACGGAACGCTAAAAAAACATAAATATATAAAAAATACTACGCTGTTAGGATCGATAAAACGTGTACATTCCAAGCAATTTTTTTCCGGGTACATTGGCCGAATTAAAATAACTTAATGATACTTTCTTATTAGAGCAGTTCCATAAACGAATAAAAGTGATTGAGACATAAATATCTGCGGGTAAATATAAAGAGCCGCAGAATTGAAACGTTATCGTACTACGCTTCGCGATTTCGGATTATTGCTTGTTAGCGACATTAAGTTTGCAGTCGTAAAAAAGGTGCAAATTATATTAACAGCCGTTTAATATGGCTCAGTCGGTGCGGTTGGGATTTTATTGGCAATCAAGCAGATGTCCGGGAACCGGTGGATTTATGGAAGCATAAAACACATCGGAACATTGAACGGTGATGAGCTTCATTGAGCAATTGCGACGAAGTCGCTTGTGTCCTGGGTTAAGCATCGTATCGGAATTCCGTTAATAAAAGTATACCAAAAAACAGAATTAGAAGGAGGATCGCCAATACCACAATCCTGAGTTGCGATAATGTGTTAATTTCGTTATTTCCTTAAAATATCTCGAAGCTGTTATTTTTTAAGCCAAGGTTGTATAACTCCTTTATCCTGTTAAACACTTGCTGAATACGCTTCCTAGTAATTAAATAAATAAGTCATTGGTAAATTGGAAAAAAAACCACTAGCTACCCCGATTGGATGGGTCCAAGGAACATAACGACTTTAATTAAGTTTCCTACTTCGTTCTCCTTCAGGGAATGTCAGTAACTATTCAGAGCTGCCTGCTGAAAGAATGACGCTAAGCGCCATCTATTATGCGCTAGAGGAAAACAATGCGGCGGCAGCCGTGGGACTGCAATATAAACGAGCAGGTTATAAATAATAAATATTGTTAAACGAGACATTTTATATAAGCAACGTGCTAATAGTATCATATTTCATCGTCTGTTAACAGATTAACTTCTCGGTTACGTATAAATCAGTAAAAGTGTAGACATTTCATTTTTATTTGACTTACACCGCTAATCTGTTTTCATTTAAGGAACTGATTGACAAATTGTAGTATCAGTACTACAATTTGTATTTTTTTTTGTTTGTGTACTTGTACTAACAGTTAAATCAAATAAGACTACCTAGTTAGATGAATGATGATCACGTAAATGATCATAATGTAGCACACACTGTACATTTTTGAATCATTTATGACGTGCCTGAAGTACCACTGCAAAGTTCGGTGTGTGAACCGATCGACAAATTGGTTGACGCAACTCGGAAACGTTTAGGCGTCGGTGTAAGCGTATTGAGCGAGATAAGATAGAGCTGGTCAAATGAATGGAAAGCCAGGCGTATGGGAGCAGCGCCCACGCGGCGCGCATTCCGCGGGGAGGCAAAGACCTCTGGCTTCCTGGATCACACACATCGAAATAGTGAATCGTTAAAGCGTACAGATACGACGGTCAGTTGTTTTTGGTCCCCTTTCCGCACTCTTCGTCAATCTTCAAAGAAAATCTGAATGGAATTACAAATTTTAGAATGAATTGCAGCATACGTCATATGAATAATTAAACTACATTTTACCAATGTATGTGAAAGGACCGCGAATCACTCGAAAAAGGTGTACTTTCTTTTTAATAAATAAGCCGTGACATCGTCATTCGCAATTTAGTAGTATTTTTGCAGTTCTATTATATTCTGTATTATTCTTACGTAATTTAAGCATATTAATTTGATGTTGTTCAATTATATATAGCTCATATCTATGTCTCTTTGGAGATGGACTGAGATAATAGAATTTTTAAGTAATTTTTTTTAGCTGGACTCTGGACCTCTGGACTCTGGCACTGGACCCGAACCCATTTTATAGCATTGTATTACGGATATTTTGTTCTACACAAACATTCTATGAACTTGTCACCATAGACCAGTGTCGATAATTTTTGATGAAATTACGGGCGATCTGAGTTCGGGAAGTTTTTAAGGATAAACACGATCTTTTTATACCTACAACTTTGCTATTTAACTTTTTTCCAGGCCTTGTAGTTTTGCCGGAAGTCGAGACTCAGATCGCCCGTAATTTATTTTTCCTTTCATTTTTATCATATTCCTCTCCTTTTCCAATGAGTTTCATCCTACTCTTAATTTTTTTTTCACTTTTTGCCATTTTTAAAGGCTTCAACACTGGACAAGTATGGAACTTTAATATAGTTCATGGAACTCTCATAACCTTTTAAAGGCAAGACACGGTGATAGTGTGGTTGCAATTATTGGGTTCAGTCCCAGTACCTTGCAAAAGGTTTTTTTTATGCTGGAGGTGGCAAACGAATTGCGTGAGGAATTGCAAAAGCGTCTAAACCGTCAGCACTTACTCTCAAAGGTAGTCGGTTCAATCCTATAGCGTCTTCCAGTTAGCACTATGTTATGCAAGTTGGAGTATTGCAACACTACCTTATACTTACTAAAATACAAATTTTATGTATGGTGTACGGTGACAATTCTGTCTCGTTTGGGACGACATATGCTTGTAGAAACGTTCATATTTTGCAATAAATCGTGGATGCTGTTTATTGCTCGCAGATTTTGATGCATTTTTACTGCCTTATTTATCGGAGTAGTAGAAAGTTATGTAAATAAAAATTAAAGTTTGTATTTTTGTCCTGTATGCGCTCCTAAACCAATCACCGATTGTGATAGAACTTTCGTAAGTTATTCTTCGCTAAGGTTACAGGATACACAAAAAAAAAAGGATTTGTATGTTTGTCGTCTGTACAAAAGATCACTACATAATTGTACAAGATGATTAAATGGACTGTCCAAACTGAATTGTACCTGGGCAAAACCGGAGAGCGTCGTTAGTTATTTATAAATGTCGATTTTCTTGTTGAATAACCATAACGTATGTATTTTTCATAAAAAATGTGTTTATAAAGGTATGAGTCCAACAAACGTCTTTCTTGACGTCCTATGGACTCTTAGATAATATAAAGGCATGTTATTTTTTAATCTGACATTTCTCTCTGAAGACTTGAAAGTCGCCTATAGAAATTATTATATGGGCATAAACCATTTTAATATCTCAGTATTAAAGAAAGTAAATTACAAAACAGAGCATTTCTTCACTTAGAAAAGATACTTGTTAATGACGTAATTCAGTCTAGTTTAAGATAGCTTATGGGCTTAACTGCCGGTTTGTAATTCCTCACGGCAAGAACATACAGTTGTAGACGCATACACAATAGATTACCATTGGTAATTGGCTTATCCGTGTGTTAGGGGTCATGTTGTGACGCTGAATTTTAACCCTGTACACAAATTAGTGTCACTATTTAAAAAATCATGTAACAAACAACATTTTCATTGCTAATTTCTGATATATGTTGTGTTTATAGTCATCTAATATCGTATACACGTGTAATGATTCAACTAGCAGCGATCTTATACGTTTTGGGGACGCACTCACGGATGCCAATTAGCACTTTCATTAAAACATTAATATGCCAAGTTCAGTCTTAGTGTCTAATCGATTTTCTCATAAAAAATATTTGAACCTTAAATTAAATTAATGGTAAGTAAGCGCTGACGGCAAATTACAGTTCAGAACGGTTAGCGGTTACATTATATGAACTGCGCCCATTCTACATAAGTCGATTTTCTTCTACGTTGATTACTATTAACTAGGCACATAACACAACCCTGTAAAATTTTGTCTAGACGCTAAACAAATTCCTTGTGTTTATTATAATCATGATTTATCGAATGTGCGAAATAACGGATCTTGGCGATTTTTTTAATACATTAGCGTCCAGTTCGCGCGCGGTCGGTGAGGCGTGAAGGACGGTAGCGCCGCGCAGCGATTTGACGGCCGACTTCTAACTTCTAACACTGCAAATGTGACACGGCGCGAGCGACGAGCGAATAGAGTTTCTTCCTCACGACGTTTTTGTTATATCATTTAAAATATCCTTCGTCAAATCTGTATTGAGCTGACTAGCCGCAGATTTTCAAACGCCGATTTTTAGTAGCTGTATCCAGTAGCTGAAATAAAAGCGACACTTTTTGCGGAGTAGCTTCCAGAACATTTTACAGTAATGTCATTATTACATTTCGTCTGATTATTAAATACTCGGCTGGACATTAATGGCCTGAACATAGGCCCTGAGAAACATGCATCTAATATACCTTTATGTTGTGCTAATCATCCAGAAGGCAAGTGCTGACTAATAAACGTTTTATTGTTAATGGCGTATATCGGTGGAACTGCTCACAGGAAAATTCCGATTAGATATTTTGAGCCAAATGGTTATAAATTAATAAATAAACGTTAAATGTTTATTTATTAATTTATCACGCACCATACACATTTTTACACAACGTTGTCTAGTCTGAAACTAAGTAACGCTCGTATTATTGGTAGTAGATAACAGATAAACATACTTAGACATACTTTTATTTTGTAAATAAATACTTTTTATACATATAAAAAACATCCAAAAACTAGAAAAACATTATGTTCATCACACAATATTTTTCCAGTAGTTCGATCGATAGATCTGGCACGAGAGGAGGGTTCACTACCCACTACGCCAATCGCGTCGTCGTAATGGTAAGTTACTTATGTTCACGTACAGAGTGTAACCTACCGTGGGAACCACTTATAAGTTCGGCTTAATCTTGAAGCGGGCTTCTATGAAAACATTCTAAAGCTCCTGAACGAGATTAGTCAGATATTACTATTTGTCAGGTGTATATCCATTTAAGGGAAGTACTAAGAAAGAGCAATCTTGTTGACTAATGTGGTTCCTGTTGTATAAAACAAATAGAAAGAACAAAAAACCCAAGTAATGGGACGTATAGTTGAAATAAAAACAAACGGCCAGAAGTGTCAAAGTTTAAAGTGTAGACCACATTTTAAATACCATAGACCACAATTCCTTGCATAAGAACGACCGTTTCTTACCAATCAAGGATGTGAATTGAATGATTGAACAACCAAAATGAGAAGGGGTTGGGTGCTGAATTAAGCTTGGGACCCCATAATTAACAAAATTAAATTCAGACCCAAGCACGTGGTGTAAAATTTCGAAAAACGTCCTGCAAAATTTCAAGATTCAATTAGCATTTTATTCGCAGATTGGAAATTAATAATATGGAATACTGACAGTAGATGAGTGCAGAAGAGATGAAGTCGAACGCCTCAGTCCGTCCCGTGATCCTGAATGTCTTATAGCATTTGATATGACAGGAGTATAAGTTTAAATTAAACGCAGTAAAATCAGCTGTGGTCATACGATCATCCAATTGGGGTCATCAGTTTAATCGTATGAAACCTAGCCATGCGTTTTAGTAGGTACAATATATCAGTTACGAAAGTTTGACAACATTTTTGTGTGAGCGATAGAGGCGGAAGCGATAGGTTCTAAACAAAATTACTACATTGTATTTTAAACGAGTTGTATTTTTTTGTTTTTGTATACTGAAATCGATAAAATATGGCATGATTATTTTCAGAAATCATAATTTACATATATACGAGGATCACAAAGCTTTATAATAATATTGCATATCTATTTAAAATGCCACCTGCATCAACATAAGGCAGTAAAATTAATTTCATTATAATTTTAAACATTTCAAAAAATCCCCTAGACTAAAGTAATCATATAAATACAAACAAAGGAAGATTACGCAACGAAAACATTGTTACTTCTTGCGGCATCGTTAGTTGATGTGGGGTTCTTAAAATATTTTGTGGCACAACCTAAACGAGATATCAAATGTCCAACAACCTGTTGCTGTTATCATTATTTCGACTTAGAAGACGTTAGGTTGACAGTTATATGACGCTTTTACATGCATAGCGTATTTCGGAATGAATTAAGTATGAAACAAGTTGTAGAATGCCGCTAATTTGACACTATTTTTTCAATAGTTATTAATTATTCAAACACTTTCAATATGTATACATTTTTTATAAACATAGCCCGTATTGTGCATGCTATGTAAGTTGTAAGGACGGTCATCACCCCAATGGTTGTCCGATGTGGGAATAAAACCCACGACCCTGGCGCCGAAGTGAATACTTTGACAACGACGGTGAGACCACGGATTCATCAAATGCTAAAAATTTTAGGAAGATTTTACACTCTATGCCATTCAGATATAATTTGGTGATTTCATTTTTACCATTCAAATTTACTGTCATCTACATTCCAAAAAATAAAATTGTGGATGATGTCATATCTACAGAATTCAGGAAACTTGTGAAACATGAAAATTTTCCATAGCAGTCTGATAATAAATTTAATAATACATTCAATAAGCTAACAGACTATTATGTAACTGGCTATTAATCTTTATCTAGTACAAACAAATTTCGAGATGATTATCAACATCCCTTTTGGATTTTAAGTTTTCAATTGTGAGCATCAAATTTAGGCAAGCTGCCATGAAGACTGGATCAAGATTCCAGAGTTCAGCAGATGATTCTGCGCAAATCATTAGAGCGATCGTGGTTCCAATTACGGCCGGACGGCATGTACAATCGCGATGTTTATGCCCAGCGTACATGTTTTGAATATTAATAAAGCAACCTTTGTCTGCAGTGACATTAGTTCTACGTCACTCGGACGATGGCGCTCCTCAGCCACTTTTGTTTCAACAGTAAACAAAACCTCAGCACTTGTTTACGCATTGTTAGCTCCTCGTTCTCATCAGACGTATATATCGAGTATTAAAGAATCCATGTCAAATAGACACCAAAAAAGCTATAAATGATAGACGGAAACTGGTTCTTACAATTAAATATATGTAAATTTTCAAGGTGGTAAGGAAACTTGTGCAATCGGATACGATGTGGATGTTCTACTGTATAGGGCGATGACCTAACCATATTTGGGAGCAGCCGATTGATGCAGGTGACTTATTGTACTCATTTTTAAAGGGGAGTCACTACTTGACAAGAAGGCGTAGTCTACAGATGTACATTATCGGTACCTGCGATAGCCGCAGAAATTACTTTTTTTATGTGAGAAGATGACAAAAAAAGTTGGTGGTACCTGATGTTTAGTGATAACCACCGCCAATTGAAATTTGCCGAGTTGCAACACTCGTAGGGTTGTAAATGCGTTGCCACGTTTTCATAAAGTGGGCCCCGACTACCTCACTCACCAGACGAAACGCAGAAGTATAATACTTCCACTTCACGCCGGTCTTCTTTGAGGTCGTAATACTTACATGGACGGACCTGTACATTAGTGGAACAGAGAAGACGGTTACGTGGCCCTACCACAGATACCTATCTTCTGAATGACATTGGTATCTAAACATGTTGAAAGATTCATGTGTATTATACTCATTAATCTATGAAACATTTTAAATTCTTCTCTCTCTCTCTCTCTCTCTGCTGGATGTAGTAACGAGAATTTTGGAGGACTATATCAATATCATCTTATAGCGTTTGCATACAAAATTGCGAATTTCATGTAATGCTAAAGTTCTTAGTGAATTATCCGAGCCAGTGGAGCGATGATTTCCTATTTATGGTGCTTCGGCATTGTGCCTTTATTTGTATCAAGGTAGTGAGCGTGAATACGTGTTAGATAACATTAACACTTCCGACATTATTCGTTTGAACTCGGCTTAAGTTGGGACAGTTCGCAGGTTCTACTGTAACTTTTTAAGTTCGTATAGAGGTTATTATGACATCTAGTGTAGTAAACCTTTAATTATATTATTAAAATGACCTGAAGACAGAAATGAAACGCTCACTACTTTTTACAGATCGTAAATTACAATATAGGGTGACTAAGATACTTATTATTAGCGTTTTAGTGATTTTTATTTTTTTTTATGCGAAAAGTCAAACGAGGAGACGTTTCACCTGATGTTAAGTGAATACCGCCGCCCATGGACATCTGCCACACCCGAGGGTTACAGATGCGTTGACAACCTTTTGAAAATTGGGCTCCGGTTACCTCACTTTGAAGTAGATATGCTAATCGGTATCGAGTATGCCATCATAGAATTCAATAAAATGAAAATAGTTGTAAAAAGAAATTTCACCAAGGAATAGAATAGAATATAATACGACAGTTTTGTATCTAGTGCCTGTTCTGTCCAGCTTGTTCTACAAGAAGGACGAAACAGACTTGTAGTATGTAGATCAAAATATTTGTTCATAGATAAATAAGTAGATATATAAATAGTAAATTTTGAAGAACGTTTAATATCCTTACTACATATCTGTACAAAAATGCTGTAGGTCGATATAATATAAAAAAAATCTTTCGATACTTGTATGATTATGAAATTAGCATGGCTGAAAACACTATATCTCGGCGAATAATGTCGGAAGACTCTCCAATATCTGCCAGTATTACGCTTCGAGCTATTAGCCAATCGAAGAAAGTAAACCGATGCCCCAAGCGGCCTTAACAGCGTCTCACAACAATAGCGGCAGAAACTTCCTGGCGTTACGCACCGAACATCTCGTGTTAATATGCACGTGTTTGTGGAGCGTCGTCGGTGCATCGGGCGTTTTCTATTTTTCAATCGTACCGTTCCGCCTTTCGATACTTTCCTACTAATACGCGGTCGACCAGCGGCCGCGGCCCCTTCCTGATTCGGTTGCTCGCGCCGCTCGCTCCTGGTTACGCGGTAAACGGCCGAGGAATGTGGGGCCGGGGCTCCAAGCTGGCTGGTCGTCGTCAAGCGGAAGGCGGCGCACCCGTACAATGGCCGACGCCGATCACCGCTACGTTCCCAGCTCATTACGTATTTACTACAAAACTTCTGCCTCAGACCAGAGCTGTGTGAACGGAGCGCTTTATTTTCTTATATACAAATAGGTGTATATTATATTTTTTTTCTCATTTCACAGCTAATGGAATTCCGCGCCGAGGAAGTTAGCAACGGTCATTTCTCGCAAGGGGACGCAGTAATGCGGCTAATGACTACGAAAATTGCACGACTTGCTGAGTCCGCTTTGAATTTCTACTCCCTAAGTCATGCACGTTTTACCTATAGACAAAGTTTAAAACATTCTCGTATAGTCTAGATACCTTGCATAGACATCTGATGTTTAATGATTAAAAATAATTATAATTTAACGCATTGTGACTACTAGACTACAATTTTTATTGTCCCAGACGATTTGATCTTTATAGTCCTAGTAATTGATCAGACAACTAGGTTAATTTGGTCTCAAAATTGGAATTTTTCATTATAATATAAGCTATATTATATAAAGTTTCACTAAGTTCCTAGCTTCGTGTGATATGAGGTCCATTCCTCATATGATGTTGAAATAATAATTATTTTTGAGGAACGCTCATCTGTTATGAAATTATTTGCGTTACTGATTGGTAATTTGATTATCCCGCACAATAAACATCTCACACTTCAATAACTTAAAATGTCAAGTCTTGAACAGAAATCACCATTTAATCTTTGCCGCGATAAACTTTTGAGAACAACACTTCAAGGTTACGATAGGTTTATTCGTAAGTCGTTGTTCAGACTGTGCATGTCCACCGCATTGTATTTGTTTTGACCACATTTTTATACGTCGCTATTTTTATACGCCACTTCGGCAGAGAACACTTGAAACTCTAAGATAGACCTTAACTTGTTACAATTCTAGTCAGCATGTAAGCACATTTCAGAATATTGTAAAATCGCGCAGTTCCTATGAACCAGATCTCAAGAACGTGTACAATTTGTCAGGAGAGGTGTATAAGAACTTGAACTAAAAAGATGTGCATATATACAAGAATTCAGCAATATCAAACTTAACATTGACGCAGCACTGCAGCATCGTGTGTGTACACAACCTTTCATCGTTATGCAAGTCGGTCACTCATCAATTCACGTCGGCTCAGTACGCCCGCCATTATTGTAGGTAGGTGAATCTAATGGCATTTGAGACCGGGCCCAGTCACAGCGTTGCATTAGCTGGATACCATGACTGACATTTGTGACTTACTAGAAGTTGGTCAATCGCTTATTATATTGCCTAGTGCGTGTTGCTCAAATTGTTTTTAAATATGCATGCATACATCGGATTAATTTTTAAACTTTATCTTCGATGATATTTTTTTTTAATATTACTTTGATATTCGACTTACCCTATACAATTTCAGCAAAATAACTCTTGTTAGTAACTCTTTTTTTTTCTATAGATGGCAATTGTCAACTTTAGATCATTATTACTGTTTATTTAAATAATTTAACACTTTTCCGTGATCATCATGTATATCGCTGTTTTGTCTAACCTGAGATAGATATCTGTTTTATCTAATCTGAGGTGGATAACAGGAAGCTTCCAAGGCACACCATATTTTTTAGTTTTCTCATCTTCAATATGTAGTGCCAACAGCCTGGCCAGATCGTCACTCCACCCAGCCAAGGTGTCCTACTCTATGTCTTATATTGTCACATACCAGGGTAGGGTTATGATTACTATAGTAAGAAATTTTATTTAAAGTTAAAAATTGACTAACTAGTATATTGTCAATAGATAAATGTTAACACAATGTGGCAACGTAAACGTTTTAAAAAATTACATTACATAATTATGTATTCACTAACGGAATCGATGGCGTCCACGGAATTGTAACAGGTCCAAGTAAATGCACGTTAAAGAAACTGCTCCATTTCATCGCTTCCTACTGTTAATTGCTTGTTAAAATAGTGCTTTGGACAGACGAAACTGTACGTATGAGTAATAGCGCTAGCCCGATAGAGTCGTTAATGGAAAATGAATATATTGGGGTATTGAACTCCGGTTGGTAACATATGAGAAAATTTAAAGGATCTCATGTGTAGGCTTATAATCGTCATATATGGACTGAACAAAGATTTAGATATCTGATTGTTTGAAAACGAATGTAGTGAACATTTATAAAAGCCCACTTTTCGCCTACGATGTTTCTAGAAGAGTTAATTGGCAGGTACTGATTAATAAGTTTGATCAGCTTGGGGTCTCTTTTTTAACATTTATTCAATATTTATAAAACACACAAGTATAAAATAGTTTTAAGAACACAAAATACCAGTATAGAACACTAAATAGTAATATTAGCAACGAGTGTATGCAGTGTACACAATTTAAACACTGAATTCTTGGAAAATATTTAAGTACCGAAATAAAATGTGATAACAAAAATAAATTTTAATTATTAGGTGGCTGGTATTGGGAAAAGATTTTTTTGTTTTTAACATTTTTTTATTTGATGATTTTTTGTTAAAGGGTATTGAATTTGAGAAGTAAGAGAATACACTTCCATATATGTTTAGAAGTAAGGACACAAGAGCATGAAGGAAAATTGTAGGCGATAATTGCGTGGAGGTTGGAATGTCGAATTGCGGTTCCAGGACCAGTATAAGCAATGAGTTTTCTGATTTAAGACTTTACTTTAAGAATTTCCTTTAATTTACGCAGGCCTAAAAATTCTAAAATAGATCGTCCGCTTCGAAGTTTTATTTTTCTAGTTTAACTTGTCTTTGGTCTTTTTCGAAAAAACTGCTTTAACTCTTTTTTAGCCTTCAATGGGCGACAGTTATTACGTTCTATTTCTTTCTATATTCGCTCAACGTATCCAGTCTTAAACCGTGTGTCTTAATTTATATCACGATCGGCTCTGATTTTCTTCACAATTCGTTTTTGTTTTTCAAAATATGAAAGCAATGAAACTATTTATTTTAAGGGCTGACATATCATGTGCTTAGCGGTGAAGGAAATCTTCATGAAGAAACCTGCATTTTTTCGGAATAATCACATAAAATAAATATTTAGAAAATACGTGAAGTTCGCCGGTGTACGTGGGTCACGTGGTAAACTATATCCTAAAACCCTCTGTGCAGAAGAGGCCTTTGCCCAGTAGTGGGATAATATAGGTTGTTACTTTAGTTTTTTTTAACTTTGTGGTTCTTAACCAAACTTGGCTATCAAGACATTTTGATTTTAATTACAGTGCACAAACTGTTTTTTTGCGTGTAAAATATTAACTAAGGTTTTTCCATTCTTACGTTTTTATACTCATTAGTTGTAACAGGAACTGTTTTTGTTAATCATACTAAAACGACGTTCGGTGTCAACCTACGTGCTAAAATTATTGTCGAAATATAATTTGGATAGGAGTAATACGACGTTTGACCTTGTACTATCACTTATCGTTTTTTGCCTGCAGTTGATTTTAAACCTAAAAAGAAATTTATAACAAAAATAACACTTTACGTGGCAGATCGGCTCGTCTGAGGACTGAATATAAAGGGGAGTCTTCTGGATTTTTTTACATCGATTCTTATTTCTTTGCCAACCTCTCGTTTCGTTTCGAGAGTTTCTCTGTTAACGATTGCATGTGTCGGTGTCTATTTATTTGTTACCATCTGAACTTACTGCTGTTTTGCCTTATTAATAATGTTGATCTTACGTCTGTACGTACAAATCTGTATGTCTTTTTATTATTTTTTATTGTGATATTTCATATTATGATATTTTTCCATTTATCCTCAACTGTCTGTCTTACAGCTTCGATTGATTAGAAATCTCAGTAAAAAACCCAAGATAATTTAAGCTCCTGTTGGGTAGATCTTACAAAATTCATTACCAAACACCATCACCATCAAACCGGCCTCTATATCTATAAAAACGGCAAAAAAATCTTGTCGGTTTGGGAGCCCCATTTAAATATTGTTTATTCTCTTCTCTTAGTATTTTTTGTTATAGCGTCAACAGAAATACATCATTTGTAAAATAGTCAACTGTCTAACTATGATAGTTAGGTTTATGAGATACACCCTGGTGACAGACGGATAGACAGACAGCGGAGTCTTAGTAATAGGGTCCCGTTAAACTCTTTGGGTACGAAACCCTAAAAAGTTGATGTAAGAGTCAAAGTATTCCGGATTAACTATGGCCTTAGGAATTAAAACAATTCAGCCCTCCAATGATTATGGACTCGGTAATTTTGGAAATGTCGCGAAGAACCAAAATTAAACACAAAAAATACGTATTTTTCTTACTTAACAATTAATAATGAACATTTGAACTACATTTAAGGCGTACTTATGTACATGGTACAGGGTAAACGTGTTTTAGACGTTTTTGGTATTAACTTTTATAAGTTCTTTTAACTTGGAGGCTTCTATTAGTTAACGAGTATCCGTTTCAACTGTTCATAAACAAAGGAGTTAGGAAGGTGCCACAAACGTAGGCGGCGGTACCACAACTTAATGAACTACATGGTCATTTAAAGTAATAATGGCGATTCGAGTTTTTTACTAAAGCCCGACACTGGACACATGTAAATGGCGGTGTGGGCGGATGGTTTCCGTAGTTGCGTACGCGTTAGTTATTCTTTATTTACTTTAGATTCGTGCGTCGATTGTGACGACAACGGGTAGCCATTCTGTCCATTAAAGCTACAGAATTTTTTGTGTATGACATTGTAAGGCCTGTCTTTACCATATAAATTCTAGTCCTTACTATACCTATGTAGATCGTCGAATAAGCGAAAATTATCATACAACTGGCCAAAATTTTGTGACCTGTGCGGTTAATATCTTCATTGTGGTTGGTTAACGGTTCTTACAGCCTCGGCTGTTGCAGGAATGGGCAGGCCTCTCCGGGTAAGTACTCACAGAAGACCAGCATAAAGTGTAAGTATGACAAATACTTTCAAGTTTTGTCTGGTGAGTGAGGTAGTCGGAGCCCAATTTCCAAAAGGTTGTCACTTGTCAACGCATCTGTGTAGCAGATGTCCATGAGCGGCGGTATTCACTTACCATCAGGTGAACCTTCTGCTCGTTTGGCAACTTCTCACATAAAATGAAAAATAAAAAATAAACTATTCTGTTGTAAAATATATAAATGGTTTACTGACTAAAAAAATATATACCGTATTTAATCTAACCAAATTAGATGTTGGTTAATCTATCTATCTATATCTATATATTAATTATTATTAATACCTTTAAACGACCAATTTTCATGTCTTTGTCTTTAAAAATATATATAATCCTTCTGTATGTGTGGGTCACTGAAATCCTCCTAAACGGCTGGACCGATTTTAATCAAATATTGTGTCTTCAGGTCGATTCGAGAAAGGTTTAGATTTACAATTCGATTTTTTTAATTTTTTTATTTAAAAGTTGTTTTCAGATTTCAGTCGTGTTTACAAGACAACGTCTGTCGGGTCCGCTAGTATAAATATATATAATCTGAATCTCGGAAACTAGTTACAACAAGGCTCCAACGATTTTCATGAAATTCAGCATGCACGAAGATAAACTTCGCCACCATGTACAGGGTTATTCTAGGTCAGGTGAGAAATCGGGCAGTCCCGTAACCGGAAGGACCCCGGCTCGAATCCCGATTATTTTTTTTCCTTCCTTTTCTGTTCCTTCTTTTGTGAGAAAAAAATCCGAGCAATGCTCGGTCATCCAGGTACAAACTTTTTACGTGTTAAACTGCTTAATTCAGATTACGCGACCCCTTTGAGATTTAATAAAAGACAGACGTATTATTGCTCCGGGAATACACGGAGATTAAACGAGTCAATTCTATTACACCAATAGTTTACTTCATGACTTTTCTATATGCGCGATATATAGCGCACACATATGAAGTTACTCAAACTAATTTGTTACAGTAATTTAATAATTTGCTACAGTGACCGATCCAATTCAACTATCAATCACCACCGTCACTTGTCGAAGTAATAGTGTTTACGATCATAAAACAATACGCCGTGAATAACAACACGGCTTTATCTCCTGGCGTATCCGTAACAGATTTGTATCGTTATTAATGGTTCCCTGCAGTTATGAGGTGCGTTTAAAGTTGCCAGTTGGCATCTGATGTCATCAGAGATTCGAGCTGATTCAATTTTCCAGTTCCCCGCGTTGATTAATTCCAATGTCGCCAGTTCTAATTGTCGACTGGTGTCTTTTTAACCTCGGGTAGTTCAGCTCAGCGCATGAGGCGGTCGTAAAACGCCCAAAGATTCAAATCAGAGTTAAGTTTGCTTCGCAGTTGTTACGAAATGAAGGCAACGATATAAAAGTTTTTTTATTGCAACCCTTAACAACTTTCAGTATTGTAAAGGAATACGTTAAACATAAAGTCGTCCCTTGTTACGGTCACACAATCATTTCTATTTGAACACTCATCGTGAACATTCGTTTCGTAATGCCTACATACAGGTCAACAAATTTTGGTCAACTGAGAGGAGGATGCGTAATCTGCTCTCGCGATAACCTCACCCTGTTTTGGAGAACTAACTACTTATTCTACGAACGTAATAGGCTCAGCTAGTCACTTTATTAGCGGTGACCAAATCTGGATCTCGTTTAGTACATTAAGGTTTGAGTTTATTATATATTTGCAAGAATTCATCAGGACATTTATATAAATTTGTATTGACGTCCAACACGAAATCGCCGATCGGTACACGAGTAAAACAACAAAGAGGTACTAATGTGCGTTGTAATGCGAGCGAGACACAATTCAGCCGAACAAGGGCATGAGCCTTGGCGCCCACGCGGCCGTTATTGGTAGTTTTAATATGGGTAATTGCGGACTTATTGAGAACTGTGTCGGACGTCCAATCCTCCCACGGCGGTTTATAGTGCCGACTAATTGTGATACGATTTTATCCAGTTGCAGGTCTGTGTCAATCCCATATTCTACACAAGCCAACAAAGGTAATTCCCAAAAAGCGGTAGTAATGTGTCATTCGTCTTCAGCTGCGCAAAAATAAAGATGGCGTGCTAATGATGACGACTACTTTCACGGGAAGAGTTATGTTGAGCATTTTTTTTTATCACAAAACTGACTGAAAACGAAGTAGCTAATAGTATGGAACTATTGGAATATTATTTTTAGTTAGGGGTGAACCACATTAGCTTTCTTTATTCACTATGTTTTCTTTCTGTATCATAACTGGTGACTTATCATACTTGCGTTAAATGAAATTCTTCAAAGTCATTTAATGTTTTAGCACCAGTAGAAAAAAAAAGATCTTTTGTAAATGAAGATGGGACACAACCATCGTACTTTATGGTATGGCAATCAGCTTCAGGTCTAAAAAAATCTAAATGAGTAAATGAGTGATTAATTTGGACCACTAACGGAAACGCGAACCCATCGAGTCCTTTGGCAACGACGTAAACAATAATGTTCTAACCAATGACCATTGAGGTACAAGGCGGAAATGTTTGATTTTAACCGCCTGTTTATTCACGTACATTTTCCGTCAAACAGCTACCAACCTCCTGTTGGGTAACAGTAAATTGTACGGGTTGAAATTTATTTGGATTATTGGAACTTATTCATCTCACCGCGTAAACATCGGATAGGAAATATCTAATATACGAGCATGTTCGCTTACACGTGTGGCTTAAACGCGACGTTACTGAGAAGACTTATAAAACGCGATTTACGTAACACTAGCGGTCACGGTACAAACGGTTGTGTTAGTTTTAACCCAATGGGGCGTGGATAAACAAGCCGGCGAATAACAAAGCCATGTTTAGTATTTACATAGAATTGGTCTTAGTGCGTCGCAATAGACCGCGGAGTGATGTCATTGTATCAGCGATCCGTCTGGGTCGGTCGGCGTATCAAATCAATCTGTCGAGCTTACTTGCCGCGCGAATATCATTAATACGCGTGTACTGTTCAATTCGCAGTTAAGTTTTTGTCTCATATAAGGATTAAGATGACTGCAACTTGGCTTGTTTCTATTCTATTGTACCATAATGTTTACACATTATCTGTTTTTTTATGTAGGTAAAGCACGCCATTTGGGATCAATTTGTTGCGTAATTTGTCAGCTATGATTATGCATGATAATTTAATGTTAATATTTAAGCAATAGCAGATGCGATCATATATTTATGTATTTAGTATGCTCTTGAGTGGAGATACTAATGAAATAAAAGTCGAAAGTTGTGCGGTATAAAGATATGTAAGAATTTGAATCTTGTCTAGACGTCTTGTTTAATCTGTGTCTTATAAAGTTACTTCATAACAGGACATGTTTTTTTATTTAGATAATCTAATCAGTGATTGATGGCTGTTCATATACATATAATTTATATGAAATTCAATTTTTTCAAACATTTTAAACTAATAGTGTACAGCAACTGTCCCGTTTGATTGTGCGATTGCCAGAATTAGTATTTCCCTCTTTTCGACTCTGTTACTATCACGCCCCAGGGCATCATTGCGCATTGACACTCACGTAACATTAGACCCCGAGAAGCTGCTTGTAAAGGAATCAGGCAGGATTAAAGATGTTGTTGAATCAATTACAATTATTAACATTTGGATTATTGCATTATTTATATTTGGATAAGACCAGAGTCTTTAACCAATTTGTATTGCCAATGTGCCCCTAAGGAACCGCAACGTGTGGGTGAGTCCTATGTTCAGCACTGGACTCGAATACACTGAAGTGATGATGATGAATTACTTATCGTGCTAAAAAGACAATAAGTAATTAAATTTGAGTACATCCTTTATGAATCAGAATACTGAAGTTCAATGTTAAATTTAACCTTGGTTATGCTTTATATTGTATGCAATATACGTAACATTAGTGATACCTGATAAAATTCTGGGAACTTTCCCTATTAAAAGAAAAATAATTCATAACCTTGTTAATACCAAAAAATTCAGTATTCTTTTATAAAGAAGAAAACAAGGTAGAGTATAATTCAAATTCATCATCTTTGGTATTGTTTGTTAAACTCGTCTACCACCTCTCGGTATGCACTCGGATAGTTATGTTATGATCCGTGTCCACAGATATCTCTTTACATGTCACGTAACGAGCACGACACCATTTATATATTTTACAGAATTTGCCTTATGTTTGAATGATTTAATATTTAATCTGAAAAAATAAATGCAATATACAATCGCTATAAGTGTGCTTAGATAAATACCTATCGATGGGGGTCTTAGATCAATTTTGCAAATCCGCCAAAATTTGCTTTTTATTTTTAATATAAATATCTTTTATTCACGGTAATGTTTATAGTATCGGAAAAATGATCATTAAATACCTATCATTAATTAGCTATACCTAGTACTTTAGGGGAAATAACAGCACGTGTTTTGCACGTTGCGTGGGGTGAGAGATTCCGTCCGGTCTAAATGGGATTTAGCGCAGTAGTCGCCGCTTAATCGTGCGCTGAGCATGTAAAGGGCATCGGGAACAGGCACGTATCACGTGTGCGTCGTTTTGTATCCATTACCTGCTCTCGGCGACCCACGGGACCGCGGCCGCCGACGCTTTGCCGCTGTCGCGCACTTTAACACTGGCGCATTTAACTGCTTTTGACCGCTGCTGAGCGCGAAGAAAATAAGCTGTTTCATAACTTATGTATATTTTATAACTTAATTTATGTATTTGTTAACATAATTATTGTCACCGTAAAAAATAAACAGTCGACGTATATAAGCCAAAATAATAATCTATTAATAAATGTTATAACGGCCTCAAAATGAGTACAAAACATTACGTTTTTAAATAATCGTGTATTGTTAAACGAAAGTATCTTTCTTATTTATTTCAAACTTAAATTTCCGACGTTTCGAATACTTTTCAGCGTACATCGTTTCAAGGCCCTGTATGTTTAAAATAACCGAGATAAATCCGTAAAAACAGATTCACTTAATATAGTGAATTATTCGCGTAAATATGAGATATGATTTATAAGTGTTTATGCTACTTCATGCTAAAATTTAGTTGTAATATTCAGTTATTTTATTTATTGTCTGTAATTTATATTTCACATCTAACAATTCAAAAATATAAGGACATTTATTTCGACTTGGTTCACTAAATGCGCTGACAGCGTTTCTCGACGTCACTGTGTAAATCCGAATTTGTCTTATTGGGCAATGAGAATGATATGCAGCAACAAAAGGGTTCCGAGAAGCACCCGTCCGGACTTGTTCGTCCCATTGACTCACTCGATACGTGTTGTTTAATAATAACCACGCTTCCATTTACAGGCATTTCGCCCCGCTAAGTGTTGTTACGGTCGACAAATTACGCGTAATTTCATAAATAATTACCCGCAAAACTGCTTTAAAACTTTACCAATATTACAAGTTTTCTACACTATTTAAGAGTCTCATGCAGAAGGAAATGGCAGTTCACATGATGTTAAGGGACATGATTACAAGGATTAGGGATAGGGCGAGTTACAATAGATTATAATAATCAGACAAAGTTCAAAAGTATATACTTCTACTCTACGCTGATCTTTATTGAGCCCATAGCAGTTCCCGGCCAGCCAATTTATGCAACGGTACTGGTCAGTGGCGTAGCTATCGTAGGTGCAGGTGGTGCAGTGCACCAGTATTGGCGTATCTAGGGTCATTTTCCAGGATGGGCCTAGGCCATTACTATAAAAAAAATCAAACATTATTCATATTATAGTAGAGAAAATTCGAGAATTTCAATATCTACACCCGTACGAAGCTAGGGCGGTTTTTCCGGGCGCTAGTTTCCTATATGAAGAAGAGTTATGCTTGAGAACGTCTCTTCTCCCACGGTAGATCTCAACTGATTTTTTTGAATAGTTTCATAGGTGTCCAGCCTAGAATTTCGAATCGGTAACCCAAAAATCTGTGGTGGGCACTAGACGACACTGGGGTGGGCACGGCCCACCCGGCCCCCCTGCTATATACGCCTATGTGCACCAGGGCCCTGAAACTCAGGGGGCAAGGGCAACCAAGCTTAGAAAAGAAAGGAGCAGCTAGCTCTCGAATCTAGCAAACCTCGAGGATGCCATAATCACAAGATATTTGATACATTAACAATAACAGAACTCTTAATGACTGACGACCTATATATATATGATAGCATGTGCTATTTTTTTTACAATTATCTGATTCAGTACGTTTGTTGCACATTGGATCAGCGATATGTTCATGTGCTGTGTCGTGGGATCAATTCCACCCATCAACTTGTTAGCTAAGTTTTCATTTGCTAAAGGCAAATTCATGTGATTTCATCTTGGATGTGAGTGAAGTTTTTTTTTTTTTTTTTTATGTGAAAAGTTGCCAAACGAGCAGACGGTTCACCTGATGTTAAGTGAATACCGCCGCCCATGGACATCTGCTACACCCGAGGGTTACAGATGCGTTGACAAACTTTTGAAAATTGGGCTCCGGCTACCTCACTCACCAGACGAAACGCGAAGAAAGTCTTTGTCATACTTCCACTTTACACTGGTCTTCTGTGAGGTCATGGTACTTACCCGGACGGGCCTGCCCATTCGTGCAACAGCCGAGGCTGCTGCGTGGCCCTACCACCGTTGTTAGTTATAGACGAAATTTAAATTTTTGTAGTGCTAATATCTGCACTTAAGATGAAACATTAAAATTTGTAGAAAATAGAACGAAATGTTTCTCGCCATTGTAGGAATCGAACTCACGTCTTCTGGATTTTTTTTCTCTACAAATTAATGTCTTATTTGTAAACATTAACAGTAAACATTTCATCTTTTATTTATTCCCATTTCCTCATTAAACACATAGAAGAATTCTACCCCTACGTACATACTTATTCTAGTAGGAATAAATTCGTGCTACTATATTATTTTCTTATATAAGTTCAAGCTACGTAGAAAGAGGGAGTGGGGTCCGCTTTTTTCTATATGCACTGGGGCCCTTATCTACCTAGGTAGCTACGCCACTGGTACCGGTGCATATACCAGACCATTATTCAAGCATTAACTTCGTTCTTAAAGTCAGGGCGATGTAAGATTGAGTTATATAGTGACATTTTCAAAAATTTCGCTCCCCAATAGAACTTTAAATAGAGCAATAAAAATTGCTTTCTATTAATGTTTCGTCATATATAATCTTAGATAATTACAACTTGTATTACTACCGTACCTGCTCGATGACAATCAAGTGTGTTTACGTTATGCGCATACGCTAATTCCTCATATGTAATCATATGGCACGTGGTAGGACGCGGCGTTTCTATCATTTCGCGTCGGATACGGCAGGGCGGATTACACAACGCACTTTCACCGTGCTTTAGACGAGTGAGAGTCCCTGAGATCGGCCATTACTGCATTACCATCGATGTTAGGAAATAAGAGTGTTGCACGTACGTAACACGTTGCACGGCACCGTTTAATAGTCGTGCAAAATGTTTCTGCGTGTTTCTGCATGTTTAGAATACTTGTACACATATGTTACATAATTATAACGGCTTACTTGTACGTCGTTTGGGAACGATGTTACATTATTGAAACATTTCCGTAGTGATAATTGTGTAATTAGCCCGTGATAGCTCATCCGGCCGCTCGCTTTTAGTGAAGGAAAATATCGTGAGGAAACCTGCATATTTTCGGAATAATAGCAAAAAATATATTTCGAATATACGAACACCAATCCGCAATGGGGCCCCGTAGTGGACTCTGGCCTTTGCCCGGAAGTGGTACATATATCGGCTGTTGTTTTACTTTCTTACTTTATAATAATTAAGTCATCAAAACAATCGCATAAAAATATACGTACAATCGATAAAACGCGTATAAAATTTAGCCCTTCATACGGTGAATCCTTACAAAAATTACGAGTAGATAAATTTAGAGCTTTGATATATTAGCTCTATAAATCTATGTTATATTTAAGTATGTGCAAAAGAAACTTTTGTTTATTTTTGTCCTAGAAGTGTCAACAAAAAGGCTTCACGTCATTTGGAAGACGACCTCTTGCGGGGAGCAAGGTTTTTCCGTACTGCGGAGGGCAGGAAGGAGGAAANAATAATACAGCCAGTAGCCGATGTACAGTAGCCTCGCTGTGACATCGAGTGTCAAGATGTACCGTGAAATATTTTATTGCATGGACATCTATAGTAAATGCAAGTACATAAAGATGTAAGCCATCTTTATCTTCATATATCTTACAATTATTGGGAACTAGCTGCTACCCGCGACTTCGTCTGAAGGCGCAACATTCAGACAGGAATACGGATAGATACATAAAAATATGTTTATAAATTATAGAATCTGTGTTATTCTGATGTATAAGCTATATTACTGTAAGTAAGTTTCATTAAATGTAGCAGATGTCCATGGGCGGTGGTATTCACTTAACATCAGGTGAACCGTCTCCTCGCTTGGCAACTTTTCGCATAAAAAAATAATAATAACCACCTGTAACGTTAAAAAAAGTTGTGTACGCCGGGTTAGGTCTGTAATTTGAACAGGTCTTTGGGGCCAGATTGATCAGGTTGGGCAACTGTTAAGCTTATTGCAGCTGCCCTAAGGAGAATAGGAATGGCTCGGACTTGTTCTTGGTCAACATCATCGCGCAAATACTCGGGGTAGCGATATCTCCGTGGCTGCACTACTTAGAGCGTTGGAGGAGCTGCGATTGCGTTCCTTTGGGAGGTCCCGTGCCACCTCGTCAGGACTAATGAAAACTCTGTGGTTTTAGTCGTGACTGGCCACTGAGCTATCACGGCTTTTGAGTTTAAAAAATGTTATAAGAAATAATGGTAGATTTTTGAGTTCGGAAGAACAAGAAAAGCTTAACGCCTGCGAAAGACATCGCTGTTGCATGAATTTGTAGGACCGTACGGGTAAGGTACACGACATCACGGAAGAACGGTGTGAAGTGGAAGTGTTAAACTCTGCGTTTCGTCTGGTGAGTGAGTTAGCCGGGGCCCACTTCAATATGAGGCGGCAACACATCTGCAATCTTATGGTGTTGCAAAAGGCAATGGGCGGCGGTTATCACTTAACATCAGGTGAACCGCCTAGCTCGCTTGCCACCTTCTCACATAAAGAATTGGTGTTCATCGAAACGTCACCGTTAACACCAAAGTACAACGTGAACGATTTACGTTCGCGCGCAATTTACAGTTCGTTCGGTGATCGTAATCTCGGATGGAGGTTGGTACGCGCGCAGCGGAACGGCAGCCGGCTTTTTTAAGGGTCCCGCTAGTCTTCCCGCTGATATTATGCAGGTTTTTCATCGGAACAGACAGTTATTTCTTTTCATTTAGGCAGCAGATCGGCGCGTAGCGGCCCCCGTGGCATACAGCATAAAGCTCAATGCATATTTTCACGTCAGAGGCTGCAGCTTTTTTCATTTCCGCTATTAAGATACTCCTGTCGGGCTTTGTGCGGAATTTAATAATTCTCATTGACCAACTCTTATTGAGTGTCAAATTAAAGTATCACCTGCGAAGATGAAGGTCAACTTGTGATATTCATGTAATTGGTGCGTTCTAAATATCTTTACAGCTAACATATTAATGATAATAATTTAAATTATTTGTGCACGTATGTCTGATCCGATCATGGAAGATCGGTCTTTTACGATGGTACATACAGAATTCTTTTATGAAGTTTTCTATCTCGTTTATCCTTTTGATCTAGCCCTAAGAAAACCCATAAGATTATCTTCGTGTATTAAAATATACGAGCTGGCGGTTCACCCGATGTTAAGTGGTATCCGCCGCCCATGGATATTTGCAATATCCGTAGGGTTTCAGATACGTTACCTTTTATTTAAGTGGGCCCCGGTTACCTCACTCACCAGACGAAACGCAGAAGTACTTAGGTATAAAACATTTTTTTATTCGAATTCTGTCGGTTTTTGTCTCACATCTATTAAATATTTATATTTAATGTTACATAAATAGTTACTACCTTTAGGTATTACTCATCTTCGACTGGAACATTTTCTGCATTGGCGTTACTTCAATTCGTCTCACAAAGACAATGTTCTCGTTGTTGGTTATTAATAAAGTTGACATGGATAGTGAAATACGGTGTAATATCCGTGGGCCGTTGGTCGGTCCAGCAAGACGCGTATCTGCGGATCGGATTCTCACGGGCGCCCGCGATATTCGCGGCCATTAGCCCCGGAGCTCCGACGAGTAGTTCGCGCGTCAGTGGATGCGGCAGTTATTTAATTTTATTTCTAAGAGATGACAAAAGGGTTTGCATTACGTTAAAAGAGAAACGACGCCCATACTGTCATAGCTTTGGTGATGTTCCTCACTTGGCGAAACCCATTAAAACTTTTTATTTACTCTGAACTTGTGTTACACCGTGTGGTTTACAATAGACTATTGGCCAAAAGGAACTATTAGAGAAGCTTGAACGATTTACAACTTTATGAGCACTCGAGGTGTGGTTAGCGAATATATTTCTCCAATTCATAAATCAGACGTTAAATACCATAGCCGGCTACCCATACAATGCCCGCCTGTGGTGTAAGGCCACATAGGATATGGCCTACTCACAGTAACATTGTGGAAACTACTGTTGAGACTGGAACATGGTAGCTAGCTCCCAGGGCTGCTATGTAGCTAACTTTTGGGAGTCCATTGTCTGCGTGAAAGGAG